CCGGTGCCCTCTCCCCGCAGGAGGCCGATGGCACGCTGGACTGCATCAGCATGGCCCTGACCTGCACCTTCAACCGCTGGGGCACGCTGCTCGCCGTGGGCTGCAACGACGGGCGCATCGTCATCTGGGACTTCCTGACCAGGGGCATCGCCAAAATCATCAGCGCTCACATCCACCCTGTCTGCTCGTTATGGTGAGAAGGGGCTCGGTTTTCCTCAAAACGGCTGCATTCAGTGGTTAGGCGTAGTTGAACTCGTAGTTTATCCACCAGGGGTGAAAGGCTGATCTCGTTTTTGTGAGAGTTTGGCCGTGCCTGTGTTTGCTGAGCGTCAGGCGTGCCGGTAGCCTGACAGCTCCTGACGCCTGGTTGCTGAAATGCCAGCCCGTTGCGGGGTGCTCGGGGTTCCTTTAAGAGAGTTTGGACGTGCATTATGCCTGTGAAGTTTTTAGGTGTTAGGTTAACTTTCACACAAACAGATTTATAGCTGAGCTTGATAGTTTTAAGCTGTGGGTGGGTGTTTTATGCGTTTAAGGAGTAGCTCTTCCTTGACCTGCCTCTCGTTACTGCAGCTGGAGTCGAGACGGTCACAAGCTGGTGAGTGCTTCGACCGATAACATCGTGTCGCAGTGGGATGTGCTCTCCGGAGACTGCGACCAGAGGTTTCGGTTTCCTTCGCCTATCTTGAAAGTTCAGTACCACCCTCGAGACCAGTAAGTCCTGTGGAAAAAAAAAAAGGGTTGAATGCTCTCGTTTTGGTAGAACTAATGATTATTCAGATGTTTTTACTGCAGTGTACAAAGTGATTTTTCCAAATCTAGCGGGTGATTTTGATGTATCATGTTGTGATCAGGGCCCTAACTGGATTTGTTGTGGCTCTTTTTGTTATGAAAATATCTGGATGGGAGGAGAGTAAACAAGGGGATGACTCTTGGGAATGTGTATGGAAATGTCTCGTTGCGTTTACAAGTTGCTGAATAAACTTGGAGGAGCTTTCAGGGAAAGCAAGGAAATGAAAGTAGGCACCAGGTTGATGTCATTTTACGATTAAAATAACGAAGATGAAATAAGATAATAAAAATACAGCGATATTCTATATTTCTTGATATAGATTGAGATTTTTTTCTGGTTTTAAATCTGGGAATTCTTGTCCAGAGCAGAAACTACCAACTCTTCTTTCTCTGCTTCGCAGAAACAGAGTTTTGGTTTGTCCCATGAAGTCGGCGCCAGTGATGCTGACGCTGTCGGACTCCAAACACGTTGTCCTGCCTGTGGATGACGATTCCGATCTCAACGTTGTGGCCTCCTTTGACAGGCGAGGGGAATACATTTACACGGGCAACGCCAAGGGGAAGGTGAGGCTTTCGCAGGCGGCGCTGGGTGCAGTAGCTTAGTTTGCTTCCTGTCTTTGTCAGGAGGCTGAACGCTTCTGGGCTGTGTTCTTAGCTTTGATCCACGGATAAGGCTTCTCTTGAATAACTGCTGTTGCGTTGGCGTGATCTCCTGGATAGAGCATCACGCTTGGTCTTCGAAGATCTCTGGACGATAATCTTTGTCTGAGTTAGGTCTTTGTGTGGCTGTTGTCTTTGGCCATATTTGTTGGATCTTTTTCCAGTGTAAATAAACTGACGTTTATGTCTCGGAACTGTCACAGAAACTGTAGTCGAGCTACAGTTGCAGAATCCCAGCTACTCCCGTGTGGGTTGCTGAGGCTTCTGTTGTCAGGGCTAGTAGCTGTTGTGAAAGGTACCCAAAGGGCAATGAGGTGCAGTGAAGACGCTGACTGCCTTCTGTCTCCTTCGTCTTCAGATCTTGGTCTTAAAAACAGACACTCAGGATCTCGTTGCTTCCTTCCGAGTGACAACTGGAACCAGCAACACCACAGCTATCAAGTCCATTGAGTTTGCTCGGAAAGGAAGGTGAGTCCCTTCGTCTGTCAAGTGGTATCTTTAAAGACGGGTTGAAAACGATAGGGTACATTCACAGAGCGTACAAGGTCTTGAACCCCCCCAATTCCTTCATGGAGCCCGTCCTGATTTGTTTTGTTTTCTTAGTCTTTTAATGCGCTGCCTGTTCTGTGCCCTCCTTCCTGCAGCTGCTTCTTGATAAACACAGCTGACCGGATCATCCGGGTGTACGACGGCCGTGAAATCCTGACGTGTGGGCGAGATGGGGAGCCCGAACCGATGCAGAAGCTGCAGGATTTAGTGAACAGGTGAGAGGCAGCAGGACGGCCGGTCGGCCTCGCGGGAAAGGGCGTGTGCTCCGCGCTCACGGGAGCCTCTGGGTGAAGGGCAGCTCAGCATCGTAGTTAAAGGACAGATATTGTCCTTTGAAACCTGCCTCCACGATTTGGGTTGAAGTTTAAATATTATTTGTGGATGCGAGTACGTAAGATCTCAGTCTGAAGAACGAGGCCGCTCCTCCATCCTCCGTGCTGTGCTGCTGTTTAACTGTTGGACTGGTGACGCTCTCTGTGCTCGCAGGACGCCGTGGAAGAAGTGCTGTTTCTCCGGCGACGGCGAATATATAGTGGCGGGTTCAGCACGCCAGCACGCCCTGTACATCTGGGAGAAGAGTATTGGGAACCTAGTGAAGATCCTCCACGGGACCAGAGGAGAGCTGCTCTTGGATGTAGCAGTAAGAAAACTGTCCGCTATTAGTGCGTTTCCTCTTATTTTGAAAACTAAGCTTTTGCAATTCTATTTACCAATTAAGCTCCTTCTCTTTTCTCTTTCAAATAACTAGTGGCATCCTGTCCGACCGATCATAGCTTCTATTTCGAGTGGGGTCGTGTCAATATGGGCTCAGAATCAAGTGGTAAGTGTTTTGGATCGTTCCCTTAAGAGGATTCCCCAGTGGTCTCCATCCTAGTAACGCCGCGTGCTTGCGTGTTGAAATCCTTCATTAAATCCCCACTCAACCAGCGTTTTGGGTTCGCCTGCCGAACTTGACGTGTGTTTGCCATCTTGTTGAATGTGAGGAGGGTACCCATGCTGCAGTTGCTGAGCTAGTTAAGCTTTGCATTAAGTCTTAAATGTCGTCACAGGGACATTTCACGTGGCATTGGTGTCCTTCTGAATGTGGGGTTTAAATACAGGAGATCTGAGTGAGGGAGCCAAAACTGAAGTGGTTACACGTGAACATACAGCTTTGCTTTACGATCTATACTGCAATATTTAAGGAATATTGCGATGTTTTATCTTCAGTAGGAGCTGACTTGTGCAGTTCCTGATTTGCTGTGTGACGCTGGGCCTACATGAGGCTTGATTTTGGTGTTTGGGGTTTTTTTCTGATCTTGTGTGTGGCTTGGGAGATTTTAATGCTGAATGAGACTGTAATTGCCCCAGTCCTCACTACAGCTGCTGTTCCTTTGCGTAAGGTAAAAAGGGTTTTGAATTTGTGCTTTAGGAAAACTGGAGTGCCTTTGCACCTGACTTCAAAGAGCTGGATGAAAATGTAGAATATGAAGAGAGAGAGTCAGAGTTTGACATTGAAGATGAAGATAAGAGTGAACCGGAACAGACAGGTACTGCGTCAGCTGCGCTTCTGTGTGGCAAATGGTTTGTAGTCTGACTAAACGACCCTAGTAAAATTAAAAAACTCCGGATCGCGGTACTGTACGTGGGTGTTAAATGACAAAACAGGGGTGGGTAGATGAAGACGTACGAACTAACACCATCAGTATGGTTCCTGCCAGTTGATGGGGAAAGTTTTTTTCGGAAACGCCTCCCCCTCCCCAAAATCTGCGTAGGCAGGAGCAGTAGCAAATAGACGCCAGCCGTTGTACGGGCTTCTCTCGCCAGCAGCGGGGCTGAGTTTGACTCAACAGCAGCGCAGCGCGGCCACTTGGGGGTGCCAGAAAACTGCGTTCGGTTAAACCGTGGCCAGGAGCGAGGCTTGTTCCCAGCGTACCACAGAGCTCATTACCACGCTTTGCAGCACTTCTCGTATTTAGATTAACTGCTGGTTAGTAGTTTCTGATATTCAAGTGTAATGTTGGCTTGTGGGAATTAAAGTATTAAAATAAACTTCATCAAATTTAGAATGAGTTCAGTGAAGACACATTTAGAAGATTTAAAATCTTTTATCTAGCTTTATTGCTGGTGGTTTATAACAATAGGTCTGGTTTAGAACATAGAAAAATAAAATAAAAACCTGGTGGATTTAAGAGGAAATACTTTAGGTTTGTTCTCTGCTTTAATTCTCATTTCTGCATGCTTAGATATTTAAGCACAGTCAGTCCCATTCTTTTGAAGTAATTTGGTCTTTTCCTCACTATATTTAATTTCCTTTTTTTTCCCCCTGGTTCTCAGGTGCTGATGCTGCAGAGGATGAAGAAGTGGATGTAACTAGTGTGGATCCCATTGCTGCCTTCTGTAGCAGGTGAAACAATATTTTCTTTAAAGTATGAATACAAAACGAACCACTAAGATCCCCTGTATAACACTGCCTGTATAAACCTCTAGTTTTAAATGAATGCAAATTTTTTTTTTTTTTTTTCCTTCACAGCGATGAAGAACTGGAGGACTCCAAAGCTCTGCTCTACTTACCTATTGCTCCTGAAGTCGAAGATCCAGAAGAAAACCCCTATGGACCTCCACCAGATGCGGTTCAGAGTTCTTTAACTGATGAGGGAATAGGTTCCGAGAAGAAGAGGCAGTCCTCCTCTGATGGTCCTCAGGCACCAAAGAAGAAGCCCAAAACCACCAACATCGAGCTCCAAGGAGTACCTAACGATGGTGTGTAGGAGCTCTCATTGGTTCAGTGTCTGTTCTGCATCTGAGGTGGCTTTTAGCTCTGTCTGAAGGCCAGAAGTTCAGAAGGTCACTTAATTTTCTCCTTCTTTTGAAGTCACTTTTTACAAGTTATTAGCAGCCACCAACCCTGCAAGGTTGCTGGCATTTTGCACGCTAGGAATGAGTAAAGGTTCCTGAAACTGTAATTCTTGGTGCTGTTCGTATCTGACACCAGGGGCTGCGTGTGCTGATAGAAGCATCTTCAGGGATAATCCCCTTCGGTAACACGTTGTCTCTCCGCAGAAGTCCATCCGCTGCTGGGTGTGAAGGGAGATGGTAAATCCAAGAAGAAGCAAGCAGGCAGGCCTAAAGGATCAAAAGGTAAAGACAAAGATTCTCCATTTAAACCGAAACTCTACAAAGGGGACAGAGGTGCTTTACCTCTGGAAGGAGCAGCGAAGGGTAAAGTGCAGGCGGAGCTGGGACAGCCTTTGACAGGTAAGGAACCCAGCGTGAGCGTCGTTGGCTTGCTTGGTGGCCTTGCTTTGTACAGACCCTGACTTAATGTAGTCATAGCATTTTATCTTCACAGATGGCCCTTGCGCACTAAATGTGTAGCTGCTGTCAAGGATAGGCAAAATTTTGTATTTTTTTAAGTGGAAGTGCTTTCGTTATTTGCCATAAAACTGATCTCCGTGCCTGTGTTGTTGCCGATAAAGGGCACGTAGGGCTTTTAATAGAGATTGAGCCCTATTTCAAAAGCAAAAAGAAAAAAATCTTTTGTAGCTCCTACCAATTTGTACACAAACTAATAGTTTGGGTTTGGGGGGGGTGATTTTGAGGGGGGAAAATTTAAATAGTGAAGGATTCTGAAGTTGTTTTGTGCCATCCATACTAGGCAGAGTGAAAAAGAACAGAGAAGTTCTGTGAGCAGAACTAGGAAATGGAGCACGGATAATGGTCTGTTTGGTAAACAAATGCTGAGATAAAATTCAGGAGCTGAATTTTCTATTCCTCGCTATACAGCAGCCTCAGTTAAATTCCAGGAAGTACAGTTGCTGGAAATGCAGATAGGTTTTGGTGGACTTTTCTCCTTTTTCTTTTTCTTTTTTGTTGGTATCTTGTTGGTTTTGTACTAAAACAGGGTTGTTGCAGTCACCCTTGCTGGGGCCCAGACTTAGCCCAGAGAGAATAAACGTTTCCCATCCGTCTCATTTGCTACTTCAGCTTCTTAGTTGGCAAGTGGGAAAAGTTCATTCACCTGCCATAAAGAAAGCACCAGTTTGGATTAGGTGATGTGGACTCCATATTTTTTTTTTTTTTAGATTGTAATGGAGAGCTCGGGGTTGATACAGAAATGATTTCAGAGGCAAATGTAACTGATACAGCAAATTTTGCGTTTCCTTGAACTCAGCAGCTGCTGCTGTGGTTTTTAGACCGTACAGAAGTGATGTTCTTTTCCCCCCACCTTCCTTCCCTCGCTGCTGGTCCTGCGCTGCCCACCTTGCTCACTATCCTTCCTGCTCAGCTCCTGTTACGTGGCTTGTACTAGTACTGGTGATTGCTGTTTGCAGAAGAAGGTAACGGGATAAAAGAAACTTAGTCTGTACGTGGAAAAACATCGTGGATGTTTTCTGGGCTTCCATTTAATCCTTTCACACCGCACCTTGCGAAATCCAGAAATTAAACAGATAGTTGAGAATATACTGAGACCTTCTTTGTAGCCTGGGAGGTACTGGTTAGCTTCTGGTGTCAGATTTACCAGACAGGGTGTTTCTCTCTTGACTTCTCAAGTCATCGAGGGGCATCCAGGGTGTTTTAAAGTATGATGGTAAGGAATCACCTGGATTGTGTGGATCCTCGGGTGTCTTTGCTGGCATCTGTTACACATCCTGGCAGCTCTGTTGTACCACGCTGGGTGGACCAGACTGGTTTGAAGACCAAATCAGCCGGCCTGTTGATTGCTTTCTTTTCTCACGCTGCTAATTAACGTGACCGTACGCAAATGGATATAAATGAGAAAGGATCGTGCACTGGGAACTTAATGTGGCTTCCAAAACACATTCCTGTCATCGTTTGCTTCAAAAAACCAGTGCTGGATGTTTGGACTTTCCCACTCTATAAGCAGTCTGGTTTCAGAGAAGTAGTTTGAATAGCAAGTATTTCTGTTCAGCTTTTTCAGGGTTTGCTTATGTAACTGTTATCAACTTGTTCTACTAATTTGCTTGATCTACATTTGTGGACAGATCCCAATGTACTTTCTTCTTGCAGCTTGTGATCTCTGTTGCGTTGGTCTGTTCTGAGAGCTGGGAAGACTCTGCTCCCGTTGCCTTTAACATGTTGCAAATGAAGCAACGTTCCAGACACACTCTTTTCTTGTTGGTTTTTTTTTTTTTTACACATCCTTGCAAAGCTGTATTTGGGTAGAGTTTTGCTCGTGGTGCTCCCATGCAGTTGTTATGATACAGTCTGCCTTGCTGTAAAGGGCAACAGTGGAATTTTACTGCTGCTGGGCTTGGGGTGTTCATACCCGTGCCAGTACAGTCAGCTTTGGGTTTTGGACACTGTAAATGGTCAAAAATGTCCACTGTAAAATGGGAATTTCCTTTTCTTGTGAACAAATGGGTTTAGACTCCAATTCCCTGCTTACTCTGCCCATCTACTGGAACAGTAGAGTTTTCTGAAGTGTACTTTTAGTCTTTGTCGCTCGCAAGCACTTTAAGGTGTTCTTTAGCTTGACTGAAACATAGGCAAATGATATTGCTACGATGGACTTTTGTCTCCTTAGGAGCTGCTTCCTTCTACACTAGTGTTGCCTTAAGAGGATCTAGTAGATCCATGCAGTAGATCTGAGTAGTCAGTGTTGGAAGTGTCTGCGTGAGTCCTGGTAGGAGCAGAACAGACTGTCCACTGAAAGAAACTGTCACTTGGATCTTTCCAAACTCACAGCAGTTTTTTAGGCCGTGACATTCCTGCCTGTCTTCCCTTGTTCTCTTTGCGGCTTGTGCTTACGATTCCTGTTTTGGGCAGCCAGCTTTTCCTTGGGGTTGCCGGTGTTGCACCACCTGCAAATACACGCTTCCAAATTCAAGCAGCCGCCTGCCTGCGATCCTGGAGCCAGGCGGCCTGTCCTGTCTCTCGTGCACGAAGCTGTTAGTTCTGCTGGTTCCTCGTGCCGTTGCTTTCTGAAGTAACTAACCGGTCGCTGCAACAGTCACATCACAAGCATTTCTCCTGTGGAAACTGTTTGCTGATCTGCTGCAATACCAGGTCTTTCTGGGAGCTGCATGGCCGGGACTTGGAGCCTGGTGCAGGTGTGTCTGTGTCACTGTGCTGTGCAGTCTGGCAGTAAATCTCTTATTCTTAAAGCTCCTATGTCAACACCAGGTTTCGGTATAAACAAACTGAGAAGCTCAATCCGTTTTATAGTTTTAGAATAAAATCTGTTGGCGATCTGGGTTAACCCAAACTTAGGTGGAACTTGTTTTCAGTTGTGCTTTTGTTCTGAGAGTTTGGGATTGAAAACTTTTACGCCAGGTAAGTTTGCTTGCAGCTTTGTGGAGAAAAAGCTCAGAGTTCCTTGGTCACCTTGTCCATGCCTGTGCATGTGGTCTCAAATACAAATGCAGAAATACTGGCGGTCTTAATTTGTCATAGATGGTATCTTGTGGAATGTTATCTCATTCTGAAAAGAATAGCTTTACCTAGAAAACCTTGTTCTCTTTCATTTTTTTTCTGGAAGCGCTACCATAGTTGGTGGTCTCTGGTTTCTGGTAACATCTGTTGGAGTCTGGTTACTTATTTTTCACCTGTCTTTGATCTCTTTAGCAGGTGGTGCAATCTCAGAATTGTTATGAAGACACTCTTCTTTATCTTCCTGTATTCTTTCCTATGTTGGCACCGTAATGTGGAAAACAGATGAAATGCTCAGTCAGAGCGGACTGACTAATACAGCAAACTGATTGTTCGTGGATTCAGGGAGTGACTTTTGTAAGAAAGGAATATGGAAGAGGAAACGGCCTTCCTTCCTCCTTAACTGCCTCTTCATCGGACAGTGTAAGATGCTGACTCTCAGGTCATGCGATTTGCAGAGCGACTGACGGGACTGCCTTTGTGTTGACACACAGAACTGTTTCTGAAGCGAGCTGGTACCCCACGCGCTGCCACTCCAGAGCTTATCAGCCGTTGTCGTTTAAATTTATTTTTGTTGTTGTTGTTGTTCTTCCTGGAATGAAGAAGACCCAAAATGTGTATTTTTATTCCTGATGCCACACGACTGCGTATCCCGCAAACTTCAAACTTCCCTTTCTTTGCTGTTAATTTTCACTTCGGTGAGTTGTAAGTCCTTCTGTGCCAGCTGCGTTGCCTTGCCAGCTTCTCTGTTAGCTCAGCGTGGTGGCTTCTGTGCTGACATGCTTGGTGAAACGCTGCTGCTGATTGTGTGCCAGGTTTGATTTCATCTCACGTGGATGGAGACCTAACGTGAAGAATCGAGACGCCCTCTGATGTCTGCGAAGAACGAACCTTCGTATTGTGAATATTTTAGACGTGAAGGATGACTCTGCTTATGGGAGAAGGAACGAGGGAAAGTAGCTCTAGATAAATTACTCAGTTTATGTGCTTTCTTCTAGCCTGTGATATGAGAAGCTGCGTTGGCAGTTTCTTTCTGCCCTTGCAAGTGTTTTTATTTTGTCTCTTTCCTGTGAGGTGCCCTCCCAGAAATAATTGGTTTCCTCCTTAACTGGTCAGTACTGGCAGTTAGAGGAAAAAACAAAAGCAATATTTCTCCAAACTGAAGCAGTAGTTTTTCAGGTCGTGTCCCCCTGCCCCGCCCCACTTCTAGTTCAAGAACGGAACAGCTCGTTCCCAGACAGGCTTTAACCTTTTATTCCTTAAAGACAGTTGTGATGTTTCCCTCGTGGGAACGGGAAGAGACCCTTCCTCTGTCCGGTACCTGCAGCCTGATACCTCTCTGTACTAGACCAACCGCCTGTTGGAAGAAAGTTTTCATTCCTAATGCCCCTTGGTTTATAGACTTTTATAGTTCCTGTGCAATTACTTTCAGTTCCTCCCCAGATGTAATTATTGAGCTTATCACTATGGATGTAAATTTTCAAAGCATCTTGCAGACACTGAAAACCAAGAGGAGGAGTCATAAAGGGATCGATTAATTTGCAGTCGGAAGGATGCAGTAGTTGCACGAGACACAGGCACGGGAAGAGAGGAGGCGTTTTAAATCAGAAGGTTTTTTAAAATGGTATTTTCATTTCCGCCTTTAGCACAGCGGCCTGCTTCGTTTAATGAAATTCATTCCCCTGTGTGCAGAGTTAGTTTTCTTTGTTCTTTCTGCTTGTGGGATGACTCACGTCTTTCCTGGAACACTGGTACGTCAAATCCACCCGTGAGTGGTGTGGCTGACCCCACCAGCTTTACCAGATGCGCAGGCAGTGGTTCTTTAGATTGTTTTAAAGCAGGTGATTTGTCACAGGCTCCAGCCTTCGTTTCTGTTAAAACTTCTCTGTACAGTGTATATGCCCTTGGTTTGTTTTCTTCCATCTTCTATTTTATTTTTGGTATCTGAAGTTTTGTACAATATTTGTCGGATACTGGCTTGATGGTAGTATATAGCAGTGGTGTTAGTTTTTGTGTCTGTAAATAAAGAGGTATGTTTTATTTCCTAAAGTCAATGGGTAAGTCTTGGCTTTTCCATGCAACTGTGATTGTTTATATTGTGACAATGTTTAGGACTCCTACCTACAGCTCCGGTGCAAACGCAAACATATTGTGCCTTTACCGCAGCTGTTGGGGTTTTTTTCGGTGTGGCATTTGGCTGATGATCTCTTTTTCAAGAGAGAGGAGTAAATCTGTAGTCTGATAAAAGCCCTGTGAACCTGCGTGCAGCCGGGGCGCTCTGAGACAGGCACGCGAAAGGGGAGCTGAGCACAGAGCGTGCTGGGTGTCCAGTGCACCCCCGGGGAAGCTGAATGTGGGAAATACGCTGGATCTTCAGAAGTTCACGTTTTAAAATTTAAGGAGCGTTAGAAAGAGAAATACAGATCCGTGAGCAGAGCTGTTGCACACCATGGCAATCCAAACCCTTTCTGCAATCCAGATTTCAGCTGCTGGTAAGGAGACGCTGATGATTGAACTACTGTGACCGTAGTTCAATTACTCCATCAAAAATAAGTCACTTCGATATTTTTTTTTTTTTTTTAACCTGGAGAACTTTTTTTAGTCGTGCATTATTCTTTTGGGATGCTTGAGCACGACGTGGATTTCACTGGGATGCCTTCACTTTTGCTGCGATGGCAGCGTACGAGTGCTTTCTGTTTGACAGATGCATCAGTCGTAGGTGGAGACTTTGGCTCAGATCTCTGGAGTTGGTGGCTGTACGTGACGCCGAGCAGGGGGCTCAGCCTCGCAGCTCCCCTGAGCGATGCTGCGAGGCCAGTGCTGTTGAATCCCCTCCGAGTCTGCTAGTGGGTGTCAGGAGCCGAAAACGGTGCTTTTATGCCGAGTCCTCATCTCGGAGGCCTTGCTTTGGCTCCAGACTTAGGGGAGTTCTTTGTTCTCCCCCGGGAGGTTTGGGGCCGCGTTCTGACCCGGGCAGCCGCCCTGTGACATCAGCACCGCTCCCCCGGGAACACGGGCTCCTGGAGACGTGAGTGACTTCGCTGAGCCCTGCGTAGCGCTGGGTGTCATCGGTGAGGGAATACTGTCCAGGCTGCCTCTGATTTCAGTGCCATCAGACTATCTAGAGGTTGAAAATTTGTTTTCATGGTCTTGGTAATTTGGGGAAAGTTTTGGGGATACGTGTATGTAAGACGGAACTGTACAGGTGCTGCATAAGGAATTAGGATTTCCTTATGCTCCACAGCGTGATTTTAAAGGTTCCAGTTGTGATTATTTACGTTATTTGATAGTTTGGTGGGACAATTATACTGGAACAGTACTTCTTTACAGTGCAAATTCATCTAAAATAGCATGCAAAATCTTACAGAGAAGGGAGGAGTTAATTGTTTTTAAATTGTCAGATAGATGCCATTTGCTGGAATATAGTGGACTAAAACATTCTATCCTGTTACAAGAACTGGAATTCACCACTCACGTTCTGACCGACATAGTAACGTGTTGCATCTTCTTCAGCAGTGTTGTACTTCGAGCCTGTCTTGCTGGAGGACTTTTCCTAATGGAAGGACCAGGTCTTGAAGATGATGCTTGGTGGGACTTCAGAAATACTAAGCTTGAAGATTTACAAAGAATGGTTTTGTAGTTTTTTGACTACCGGATTTGCTTGGCTTAGAAAGGAGCATGTCTGCTTGATAACCCCGCTATGGAGACCCTGAGGAACAGCCTCATCCTTGGGATGTTACTTTGTGCTTTCTCTCTACCGTTGGTGGTTTCCTTTGGAAAGGTTACCATCCCAGCAGAGCTGAAGTCAGCTGTAGCACAAGTTGTCGTCAACACCACATCCTGCAGTGTCACCTGTGGGCTGGGCTTCAAACTGGAGGAGATCTGCGAGATCACTCCCGCCGGAGAGAGGAGGAATTGTACCTTGCGCAGGTCCGACTGCCTGACCAGCTGGATTTGTGGCTTAGTCCACTTCACGGTCCCCGTGGGCCAACCCTTCCAGTTCAGCTGCCTGACCTCGGACGCAATCGGCTCTGGCAGCCAAGCCTACGGCTATACGTGGAGGCTTGCCCGAGGCCTTATCACCACAAAAGATGTGCTGTTCAAACCTTTCAAAAACCCCGATTCTGTCGTCAGATTTTCCCCTACCAGGGAGTCTGATGCAGGGACTTACCGATGTGATGTGCAGATGTTGAAGACGTTCAAGGTCATCAAGAGGGTCTACTTTGGGGTCAGAGTGATCCACGGTGACTTAGTGGATCTGAACTTTCAAAAATCCTTGACTTGGGAACAGAAGTTGGCAGCAAAGGAGGTGGAAGGGAACCCAGAAAATGGCACCCACGAAGCAGTGCAAGAACAGCAGCGCTTTTGGCAAGGAGAATTGTTTTATGAATGCTTGGTGGGAGTTGGAAGCGGAGTGATAGGGGGCGTCTTGGTGAGCGTGGTGCTCTGCTTCTTGCGGAGGACTTTGAGAAGGAGACCTGCGGAGTAATGAACTGAGATTTGATGCAATTTCTCGTCTCTGTCTCTTTATTGATGCAGTATTTTGTGGTGATGTTTGTAACTATTTTTTCCGGCTGACACAGTTTATTACCACGTCCTTTCGTAAGGTTTGGCGTCTGGTAAGTTAGTACAGGACGTAGAACCAGAGCTTGAGTCTTGATGGAGTAGTGCAGACACTGGGGCAAGGCAGTTTGCCTCCACATCGTGTGACAGGATGGTCTGGAATGGTCTGGACAGGAGTTAGAGGACAGTGAGCCACAGAAAAATGGCCACTATTCACTGCTGTGCTCCTCTGATGGGCCTTTATTGTCCCTGTAGGTGTTTGGGGTTTTTTTTATTTAGCGAATAACTTGCGAGCCTTATTCCTGTCTTATTTCCTTGAATTTCTTCTGCCTGGCTGGGAACTCTGTGGTGATGTGAGCTGACACAGGTCGCTGTTTGGAAGATGACGTTTCTCCAGCAAGAGGTAGAAAGAAGCAAGGATGCTCTCGAGTGGGCTTACAGATCAGGTGTTCTGGTGTCCTTTTCATCAGATCCAAGTGGTCCGATCTCTCAGTAGCTGTGGGGACGAGGGGTGCACCACCGCTGCCTGCTTCCTCTAGAGAGATTTCTCTCCTTCCACTCGAGCCTGGAAAACTGTAAGGTGTCTTCAAGCGATAGCTTGGAGCTTGCCCCATTTCCTTTGTAGTGTAGAACAGCGAAGCAGGGAGCGGTGGGTAGCACGAGCAAATCTTCAGTCTGAGCGCTGCTGCTTAGGAACATAACAGGGTGGTTTTAATCATGAGTCAGAGCTGAGCTCATTCCTAAAATCTTTGAAGGGGGAGGAAGGGGGAAGAGTTCAGTGGGCTTGTGGATCTTTCATTTTTCCTGGTGATTAGTACATATAAAACACACAGCAACTCCCTAGGGAGTATTGTTTCCCCCTTGGTAGCGGAATCCACAGAGGGACCTATTAAGTGCCTTCTCTTTCTGCCTCTTTTTTTATACAGCAAACAACTGTATTTACTAAGTCCGTTTCCTTTCTTTTTTCCTGTGAACTAAAGTACAGGAATTCACAGCACACCCAGTACTGGGCAAAATAATGATACGGCTCTAATATTAAAGATTGAAGCATACTATTATTTTTTCTTTTTACCAGAAAAATGAAAGAAGTGTTTTAATAGAGTTGGATATGGAGGTAAATACCTTAGTTGTGAGAATCCTATTAAAAAAACAACAAACAAACAAATAACAGACTGAAATGTAGCCAGATCTTTGGGTATGGTGAAGCAGGTGATAAGTGTATTGGGACAATGATCTGTGCACCCTGGGGTTGTCTAGTGGTGGTTGAGTGGAGAAGCAAGCCTGTCATCGGGCTTTGAATTCCCAGTGTGTAGCTCTACTGAGTTCCTTATTTCTGCAGAGAGACTTTAATGGGCGTAACAAGCAGCAGAAGTTTGGAAACGTTTGCTGGGGGGGGGGAAACAACCGTTCTGCAGTGACAGAAGATGCATTCGGGAAGATGCGCTGTCCCTTCCTGGTGCCTGGGGTGGGGCAGGAGGGTTGCTCCACAGCTCTGACGGACAGCAAGGGACCGTGTGTCCTTCTTCCGTCTGGTGATCGGGTCCTGTGGGTCAGAAGCTCCTGAAGGGCGATCCGAGATTTTTCTTGCTTCTGTTCTTCCTCGGTTTCCTCTGGCTCAGCTCCACAACATTCAAGTTTCTCCTGCGCTCAGTGCTGGCTTTGTCTTCGCTCGGCTGTTCCCTCTGCAGTGCTTTCCTCTTGTTTCTGTTCCTTGGCTAGGAGCGTGTGCTGCTTTCTCTGAGCCTCACTCCAGTGTTTAGCTCGCTGAGGGTCTCCTCATCTGGCCGGCCTGCTTCGTTGTGTGATCCTCAAGGCCCTGTCCTTTAACAGCCAGGTCTCGTGTTGCTTCTTCAAGGACCGCTTGCTCCTTTCTCATGCCAGCCTCCGTCTGTTCCCCTTATCCCCTGCTCTGCCCTCTGGGCTTTCGCTGCATCGCCTGTTTTTGCTGACGCTCCAGCCGGGGCGCTGGGACGCTCCGCAGCCGCCTCTTCCCGCAGCGAGCTCGTGGTGCGTGGAGAGGCACCGTGAGCTGTTTGGAGCGGGCAGCGGCGTCTGGCGGTGGGCACACGTCTGTGGCCTCTGCTGATGGTTCGCTCTCGCTGGCTTCGCTTCTGTCCCTGCTCGTGGCTTCGCTTCTGTCCCTGCTCGCGGCTTCGCTTCTGTCCCTGCTCGCTGCGCTCTGCAGGCAGAGTTCACCCCTGCACTGCAGCCCTTTCTCTCTTGGGGTGCTATTTGGAGATGAAAAACAAGAAAACTCTATGTTTTGCGCTGGTTTACAGTTCATCTGCCCTGTTGATACGTGCATTAGGTTATCTGGCTTCTTTTATCTTAAAATCTATTTCTAGTTAACTTGACTAAAACCACAGTGAGACTCTTCTAAGCAGGGTGAAGCCCGTTGGCTCAGCCTTTTGCCCAGATTTAACACCACAGTGAGAGAACTCTGTGTACAATGAGCCCTACATTTCTGTCCTGTGAAACTCGTCTCGCCCCACAGGTAATTCTCCCCTTTCCGTCGCTGGTGAAAGGCAGGACCAGCAGCACCATGCGGTGTGCACCCGTGTTTCAGCCTCCTCGGGAGCCTCCCGCCTGCCTTCAGCTGCCCCAGATCTCTCCTATCCGTGGGCGTCTTTGTGGCAGGTGCCTGTAGCAGACATGCATGTGCAAAGAGCAGCCCCCCTTTTTAATACAGACAAGCGAAAATACAAATAGCCAATGATAACTGAAATAGGCACTTTCCACACACCTGTTCTACAGAGCTCTTTTTGCCGACTGAACGTGAAGAAATGGGCAATTGAGCTTTGTAAATGCGAGGGACCCATCGCAGGAGAGGGGAAGCTGCGTGCCGCTGCCTGCTCTCCTGTCCATTTTGCTGTGCGGGATGAGATCTCCTCTGGTCACGTTTGGGGCAGGCTGGGGGATCCCCTCTGTGCTGGAGAACTCTCAGAATAGCGGGAGCAGACACATGCTTGGTTTGGGAGCTGATGGTTAAAATCAACAAAGAGGAGCTGTCCCATCTGGGAGAACCTCGCTGCTCTTTGTAATGCAAATGCAGGGGCTCCATCCCGTGGGCAGCTGCCGTTTAGAAATGCAGGATTACATGAAAGGTCCAGGACAATCTATTTTCTCACTGCTTAGCTGAGGAGGTCAGAGTGGGAGCCAAAAGGGCCCTTCATCTTTTTATTGTGTCCTCCCTTTTGTTTTGGCTTTTTTTTTTTTTTTTTTTTGGTTTTTAATGAGAGGGGGCAGATGCCTGGAGCAGGAAAGATTAATATTTTATTTTTTTTCTTATTTTAAGATGGAGAGCTGTGATGGACAGTGTGGCTCCAGGAATCAGAAGGGATGGGACTGGGCCTTTTATTGGCATAGCTGCTGTCTGAAATGGCACTTTCCTTGTACGCCTTTTGAGTTTTGCAGCGATGTTGGCTGATGTTTGTTAGCAGGTCTGCTGGGGGATAGAGGGAAGGAAGGGAGAGCAGTCTGAGGTGGGGGAAAGAAAGGTCACAAAAAAGGAATAGGGGAGGTCGGAGGTACAGGGAGGTCAGTGAAAGCAGCTGAAGCAAGGACCCCTTGAAACAGCATACTCTTCCCCATCCCTACGTTTCTTTCTGTCCCTTCCTGTAACATGCATGTTTTCTTAGTTGCTATCCCTCTCTTTCCCAACATAACTGGCTGAATTGCAGAAGAAAAAGTATCTCTTTCTGCTCTGAATTGGTAATATGGTGCCTAAACTTCTTTTTCCCCACCCTTGGCCAGTTTGTCTGCCTCACCTGGAGGACAGCAGGGACTGCATGCAAACCCTGCGTCCTACCGGTTCCCAGCTGGAGGTTTTTTGGTGGTACAAACTTCTGCTGCCTGCTGATGGTCCTAGGTATTAGGAAGCAATTAGTATTGTGCATGCTAAAGCCAGACAGATTGTGTGAGGGAGGAAGTCAATTTGCTAATGGCATTAGCACTTGGAAGAAAGGAGGTAATAGCAGAATGGTGAGGCATAGGCAGCTGTTTACATTGCTGTTAGCTACTGAAGCTTATCCAAATTGAATAACTAGATTGCCTTAACTGCTGGAACTTGAATGGCAGCAAAGAGGAAAACAAGCCCCATATGCTTCTTTTGCACGAGAAGGGGCTTCTGGCTCCTCTGTCCTCTCCACGTTGATCTGTGTTAACTCTTTCGCTTGTTCCTGCAGTTGCCTGCAGCAGGTCAGCGAGATACTGAGCAGTGCAGCTCTTGGGCTCTTGTGTTCTTGTTCCCCGCCTCTCCCACTCGCTGCTGCTGCTTCTCAGGAGCTGTTTTTCCTCTCCCTTGGGCTCATTTATTATCCCATTTACCGCAGACGTTCCCTAAGCCTCACACAGGATAAAGGAAATAACTAGAAATGCGGTAATTTTCTTTAATGACCGTTGTTTTTGTAAAGCATCTTTCCTAGTTGGCTATTCCGGAGCCTTTTACGAAACAGGAGTGACTCTGGTTCTGTGGGAGCAGCAGCTGGGCTGGCGAATCGCCGGCAGCGCGGCCCCGGTCGGTAGCGCTCGGGCTGCTGCGGAGGCTGGTGGCAGGAGGGACACTTGTGCACCTCCCGTAGGGGTTTTTGGGAGGTAAAGAGTGAAATACTTCACTTATGGCTAAGAAATGCGTGTGAATGCATAACTACTGCCTGCGTAGTGCACCTCCTTTCCCAAGGATCTCTTCCTCACTGTGCTGGGAACTACTTTGCCAATGAACATTTTCCAAGTCCACGGAATGGCCCTTTAGAAAACTAGGGAAACTCAAGAGTTCACTCCCCCCTTTCCTTTCGCTGGCTTTCTCCCGGCACAGATACATTGAGTAGCGATTGGTGCGTTGCCTGTGTTTTTCCCTGCATTTTTTCCAGGAAACTGCAGGTTTTTGGCAGTCATTTCTGCCACGGAATACATTTGTTGCCTCTCTCT